CTAGGCTTTTTGGGGCAGAACCTCACCTCACCCACATATTTTAACCAAGGCTTCTAGGGACTGTTGTAATAAATATGTAGATATATACATGTTTATACATATATATGTATAAGTGATGAAAGTCTGGTCAAGTGTGTTTGTGTAATGTCAATGTGGTATAGAAATCCCTCAGCCAATGTTCCTGATATGGCAAATTTCCACAGCACAACCAGCCACCTGTGGGCTGCTCTGGTGTGAGCTGGCTGGGTCTGAAGGCTATAGAAAGTCAAGAGACGAGTTTCTTTACTCCAGGGCAACTCAGTATACTTCTGGCTAAATGTTTTCCACACCAGAGCTAGGTGAAGTGGAACAAACTTGTGATGTAGGTATTCTTGATGGCCTTGCACAAATGTTACGTGCAGGGGAGTAAGGAGCAGGAGAGAGGTCATGGTCAGACCCACTGACCCAGAGTGCTTCACCATAATAGAAAACGTTCTGCAGTGATGCTTTAAAAAGCATCAGTCCTTTTGCACATAGCCCCAAAGGGTCTAGGTCAGCAGGAACCTACTCTCATGAGACCTCAGCAACAAATTGTCATCTGCCCAAATTGTCCTGGAAGACTGTATTTAAGAGAAGCCTAGTCTTTTAACAGATGAGTGTAGAGTTTAGTCATCAGGCAATCGACTGCACCATATCAGACAGAGTATTTGGTATTAATCAAGGAGGCAGACACTGAAGTATATATCCTAGATATTTGATTGCATTAGAGGAGTTATCTTTAATCATTGGGTAGAGTCATATGATGGAACAGGATCGAGTCACCATGGCTTAGCAGGGTACCACCCATCTGTTTAAATGTTAATAAGGGTGACTCATGGTGTTAGCACGACCATGCAGAGGAAGAAGAGCCAACCTGGTCAGTTACAGCAGCTTGGCTAACATGTGGTATTTTACTAAGCCACTGTAACGCTGACTATCCAGGCCACGTATGCCCAAAGAGACAGCATACAAATGCTGACCTAAACCCCATCATGTTCAACAGCAGGCTTCCACTGGAACACAATACAAATTCTTAAATTTTGAAAAAATTCCATCGATAGCCAGATTTCAGTGAGGTTGAGCATCTGCCAGTTCTCTATCTTATATGTCCTTTATCTGTGGGCTGTTTGCCCGACAGCCCTATTTATTTAGCAACACAGGTGCCAAGGAATGAAAATGTACCAGTCAGCAATATTGATTGACAGGCTGCAGGCAGTACATCCTCAGCATTTACAAAGAGAGGAGCAGATTCAATATGCCCACCATTAAAAATAACAATTATAAACTCTCCCTGACTTTCTTTGCTGCCAGATAGAAAGCAACAACAAAAGAGATTGTGTTGTCTTTGGAAGAGATGTCTTAGACAAATTGAGTATCTCAGCCTGTATGGTTCTGTGCCATACACATTCCCTGAGCTCTGTGAGACTGAGTTTGCAGGAGCACGTGCTAAAGCCATGGAAGTATCCATGAGTACTGGCCAGTGTCAGTTTCCCTGACATGGGAAGGGGGAATCCAGAGTGGGTTATGTAGCACTTTTATCAATGGCAGGAGCACTGCAGGCTTTTCAACAAAGAGGCTCAACCTTGAAGTGCAAGGCTTCTCTGACAGATTTGCACCTCTTTTGAAAAACAGACTTGGGAACAGACTAGCAGGGGTGTAGTAAGAAAAAATACCTGAAGAACTGAAGATTTTTTTCCCCCTCTAGCTAAGTGTAAAGTATGTGCTTTCCCCTAAAATGAAGCACTGTTAAAGGTAAAACTGGGGACAGCAAGGAAGCTTCTTTGCCATTTTAATAAATACCAATAATTCCCTTTTGCCCATGCCCCATATTCCCAAACTCATTAAAGCAATTTTGGAAATCTTTTTTGGCTCACGAACATATAAGCAAAACTCAAACCATGCAGTCCCTTGAGAATCACTTGCACAAATTGTATAGGTCAGGCCAAAATAAGTTTCTGTCAAACAGCCTAACACCTAAGCTTATTATGAAACTGGTGAATTGTACAAAGGGTCTGTATGTAGGGCACTCTCAGAATGAATAAAGGTGGGGGGAGGCTCTTTCCACGGTGCTTGTTTTACTGTGACCCCACTGAAAATGCAAATGGTATTTTTATTGAATGTGTGGCTCTGTCCAGTGCAGTTCCCATAGATTCTATTCCATAGTTCCCACACATCTGAGCTGGTGGACTCAGAGGGCTGCAGAGTGGGCAGGTGGGTACACACCTCAGTCCCATTCCAGGCCAGGCAGGAGAGGGCACCAGTGCTTTCTCCTTTCCTGCCTGCTCCTCCCGCCTGCTGTCCCGGAGGAAACCCCACGTGCATCCCCAGCCAGGGCTGCAGCACACTCTGCTCTGCCCCTCAAATGCCCCATGGGGCTCCAGCCCTTCCATCTGGCACATGGACTTTAAAGCAAGAGGTAGAGAAGACCTGTTTGAGTTTGTTGTTGGCTGCTCTGCAGGGCAGTAGTTCTGGTGAGAATGGGCCAATGGGAAGTGGACCCTGCTTCTTGAGGGAGTCACCATAGCCTCTAAAAACCAAAAGGAGATCTTCTCCTCACATTCAACCTGATATCTCTTCACTTTTTTTCTTTTCAAAAGAGCACTGAATCTGCTTTTCACACTATTTTGACCCTGTCCTATTGATTTTTCAAGTCCTCTTGTGTGAAAGAGTGGTGGTGCACAGAGCAGCTGAGTTTAAGTGGACAATAGAATGGGTCAGGGTCTGTGTACTTTGAGTATATTTCTTGAGCTCATTTTTCCTGCACTGCATCCATTCCACTTCTGCCACCTCTGCACCTCCCCAGGCTTAGCCATGTGCTGAGTGACTGTACAGCCGCATATCCCAGAAATTCATTCATGCTCCCTCACAGAACTCACTGCTCTCTCTCACAGGATTACACCACACATTTGGAAAATGTTGTCTTGAGTTTTTTTAAGGTGATATGAAGATGTAAGTACATCATATTCTTCCATCAGCAGATGACCAGGGAGGAATAGGAAGAACTCCTTGTCTGCATCTGAGATACATTTGCTGTTATTTTTGGGTTTCTTTCTTCCCCTTCTGAATAAGTACTGTATGTGTCTGGGAGGATTTTTAAAACATCCTTCAAAACACAGGCTTTTTCTCTCCACGGAGAACCAAGACAAAAGGATGGGTTCTCAGTTGTGTGCAGCTGCTAAAAGAGGGCAGCTGAGGGCAGAAGGGTGGGAGGAGCTGAATGTCTGAGTATGAGGGAATTGTCAGGGCAAGGATTTTGAGGTGGCATTTGTGGAGATGGAAATGTTTCTGGGGAAACAGAGTTGAAGAGATGAGTGTTGAACGACTGCAAATCCAAGGATAGGAAATACCGGGGAGTTTTAAAGAAAAGGGGATTAGGTGATGTGAAGTCTTGGCAAAAGAGAAGGAGACTTGTATGTCAGAAGAAGGTGATTTTGCTGTCAGACAGGCACCTGCACTTTGGGACCCTGCATACTGGATGTCTGTGAATCCCATTGCTCACAGTCTTTGGACTTTTTGCATGTTTTTAGATAACTTGAAGTGACAGCTAAAGTTTGAGGAGGTTGCCAGTCCCACTTGCACTTGGAGGGGCAAAACATAAAGCCCCATCATTTGGTGTGACACAGTTCAGCCAAGAAGGATGGTCTTACCCCTTGCTCCTCTAAGGGTTGTGACTCTGCCTCCCCCGACCAGGTCAGCCCAGTTTTGAGGCTTTTATGGCTAGCTGTGGATTCCTCACTGAAGCAAAAGATGCTTCTGCCAAGGCTTTAAATCAAGGCTCTAAATATCTTAGGCTTTTTCCATGATCGCCCCTGCAGAGGCTCTTCAAACTCCCAGATTATGCACCCTCTTTCCAGTCTGTCTCGTACCTTTAGGGGCAACTCTCCTTCCCAATAAACACTCTAAACCATGTGCTATACAGAAAAGCGTCCTGTTCTCTGAGAATTAACACACCTACTTGTACTGTCAATGTTTGTTGAGGCACTGTATGTAAAAACTTTATTTTAAAACTTTTTTTAAAGCTTGAAAAGGTAGAAAATTACACTCACACAAAATTCAAGCAACACACACTTTCTTCAAAACTAAAAAAAACCCCAAAACAACAAAAAACTGATAACGTAATTCCCAAGGCCACATCCTTAAACGGTTTTTTCAAAGTGTTATCCCAGCATTTTTTAATCCATTAATTTTATGATTCTTCTTTGTGAGCGGGCCTGCTTTCACACGTGCAGTTTTCCCTGTGCTGTACTTTAAAAAATCCTTCTAAATCTTTTTAATTCCTTTTGCCAGAATAATTCACTCTGCTTTTCTGTAGTCCATACGTTTTGCTTTCATAAACTGCTTAATCTGAATGTAATTTTCCTAATTTTATTTATCTTTTTTTCCCATTTTTTGTGTCCTGGTGGTGTGCTAAGTGGTAAAATTAGTAATCTTGCTTTTGGAACAAAGGCTTGGTAGATTTTCACAGGAGAGAATATCAAGAGTGATTTGAAATACTCATTTTAGAGTAGCTTATTTACAGGTGATACAATTTCAAAATTGATGTAAGAGTGGTTAATTTTCTGTCAAAGTCTGCAAAGCTATCATCCAGATATTTTTGTTCCTAAGGGCTAAATTTACAGCAGTGCACAAATGCCAGCAGATTTTTTTGGTTTGTCTGCAGAAAATCTTTTTTGTACCATCTTTTGCTAGCCACTATACTATGCAGAGGTGCTCAGGCTGAGACTAGCTGATAGGTTTACATTCATGTTATATCAGATGAACTATACTGGTGTTTTAACAGATAAAGGGAAGAAGGAAGGTGATTCATCTTCTTCTTGAAAACTTTATGTTCCACTGATTTATGCAGGAAAGAACAAATCCTGGATTGGTTTATCTGCTCCTGCTTGTCTGGAGCTGCCTGTGCCTACCAATGGCTGGCAGGGTAAGGCTTGTTTTGGTCTCCACAGCCCATGACAGCTTTCTTGTCTTCTCCTTTCTTCCAGGCCTGTCCCAGGTTCTCTGTCTTCGCTACTGCACCTACACAACCGACAAAGACAGCCCATGCCTGCCTCCATGCCCGGCACCCTGCCCAACCCTACCATGCCAGGATCTTCTGCTGTACTCATGCCTGTAAGTTTCCTGATCTGGCTTTTTTTGCAGGGTGAGAAGTTGTGTTGTGTTCGATTCAAGCCAAGCAGGGGTGAAAGTCTGCTGGATTTTGTAAAAACCCAGTGTAATAAGTTAAGAAGGCTGGACATCTTTGGTGCTTCACCTTAGAGTATTTCTGATTATGTTAATGGAATGCTCACTAGTGTGAGAGTGATTAGAAGCAGTTTACATGAGACTACAATTTGTGATTCTCATACTTGTTCATGCAGGTGAGATCAGTACGTCTGTGCTGGAACAAAAGTATTTTTCTGAATTCAGAAAAAACTGGAAAAGCAATGTAGATAGGTTATGTCAGTGAACACTAAGTGGTCCTCTTGTGTGGGAGATAACCAGTTAATAAGAAAGAAATGTGATTTACTTTTCTGGCCTGTTAATTTGCACTTACTGAGAACTAGGTAACAATTGCCACTAATCTTTCATCATTTCTGGAAGGATGGGAATGTTTCCCATCTTATGGAACCCAAAGAGCTGCTTTACAATTGTAACTTCAAATTTTAAATAATTTTAACCTTTTAACCTTTTCAGGAGAAGACATTTGGGCAGGTTAGGGGTCGAGAAAAGTAAAGATGACATGGGGAAGAGGAGATGGAGAGAAGAGAAGTTTTTGCTTTATTTCACTGTGTTCAGTTTGCAAGACAAACCTGAGAGCAATTTACCATGGGAGGGAGAAAAGCAGTGCTTGTTCTGGCTTTGCTGGATCAAGGGGAACACTCCACAGAGATACAAAGATTCAGGTTTGGCTGCTATTTGAGCAGTCGTGAACAAGTTATTAATTATTAACTTGTCAATAAGGCTCTCCTGGAATATCGATCAGGAAGTTTAACAGAAAAAACATAAGACATATCATTGTGGGAACTTTTTTTTCTGGCATGATTCCCAAGGAACCTGAAATGCAACAAACATCCAGCAACGGTGTAAGTTCAGTGAGCTCCCCAGTGTGCTGCCGTGGAGCCCTTTGGGCAGCTTTACTTGCAGACGAGCAGGTGTGCTCTGGCTGCGAGCCCTGCGGATACGAGCACGGAGGCGAGACAGACCCTGTCAGCACGGGCTGCTCCTCCTGCCCCCAGCACTCCTGAAAGGGTTGCAGGGGAGATGGCAGTGGCAGCTGCTCCTACCCCATGGAGGTGTAGGGTAAGGGGGCCCTGGAAGCTTTTCCCTGCCAGCAGGCAGCAGGATATTCACATTTCCCCAAAGCCCAGCACCCATTCTTGCAGGCATCATGGAGGGTGGGAGACAATGCTTCACCACAGAGCATAAAAAAACAGCTGCCCTGCTTGGATTGCTCAGAAGGACCCAAAAGTGTCTTTTTTGTCAGAGCCAAAGGTTTGGCAGACTGGCTCAAAGCAATGTGGGATGCTCAGCTCCGTCTGGAAGCATAACCCTGCTTTACCAGCCCTGACAAGGCCTAGCAGTGGGGGGCTTGTCTCTTTTTGGGGAATATCCTCCAGGAAATTAGAGGATTTACTGCTATTAGGTTTTGTTTGTATCACTCCCTCCCAACCTAGTGAGATTAGCTTGCAGAAAGGGCTCTGAACAGCCAGGAGAAGTTTTGCTTTGTTTTTTGATATCTCAGCAGTGCATGAAAGCTTCCCTTACAAGACACGTGGAAAACTCTTCCCAGCTGAGCAGTCCAAGTGAAGGAAAAACAGCCAACTTGTTTTCCATATGCTTGAGATTGTAGATTTTTATTTATGCTTTTAACAAGCTAAGTTGGGCTGCACTGGGAGGGGAAGCTACAATTTTATACAGTGATGCTTTTAAAACCACTTAACTCTGAGTGTTGTTATACTGAAAGGGAGAAAATCATTACAAAAAAGCACAAACCTGGGTGGCTGCTACATTTGTTTATTAAAGAACCCCTTTCTTTATAATTGGCTGTGAGTTTTCAGGGCTGATTCTGATGAAACACACGCCTACGTGCATACACATATGCAATTCATGACACAGATTGTTATTTTCCCAGTCATGACTTGAAGAAATAAAGCTGAGCCCATTTAAATAGAAACTGAGAGTAAATTCTTGCGAATGTCTCCAGATGTTTTCGAACCTTTTTTTTTTATTTCTTTCAAAAGATGGAGCGACAAATGTCGATGAACTCCAACATCATGGGGATGCAAGGGCCGAACCTCAATAATCCATGTGCTTCACCTCAAGTTCCCCCAATGCATTCAGAAGCCAAAATGGTAAAAAGAGAATTTTTAAAAATTACTGTGTTTTCTCATATTGCTGTTGCATACCAGTTACCCAGACAGTGGGGGGGGGGGATGTAGCCAGACACTGCTTACTTCATTCTTAGTCATACGTTATACTCTTTTTTAATATGCTGCAGTAAATTGCCTTTGTGTCTGTGAACTTTCAAGATGTTCTTGGTCCTAACTGATCTCTCTGTGAGAGGGAAATGAAGGGTGAACTATCTGATCTATACTGTGCTAAATAAGATTTTTGGTGCAGGTCAGTAGAATTTAAGCAAATGGTCTGACTGTTTCTCTAATGGTGTATGTGCTCCACAACTTGGTCTAAAGAAAACTGTCAGTTAATAAAGGGTGCAGTATAAAGTGTGTGCTGCTGCAGAGGGAGTGTATATTGTCCTTGTATACCTTTGCATACCAAACAACATATATACATACACACACACACACACACACACATATATATATATAAAAATATATATAACTGGGATATTTTCTTTTTCTGGAATGCAACAAAGGTGTTCCCATTTAAAAAAAGTGTCAGAATTTGGACAAATGTAGTTTATTTAGACAAGTCAAATGTCATAACGAAAAAACAAAATTATTTTTTAAAGTTTTTCTGCATCTTAAGAGGTCAAGACTTCTCAGCTATATGTACTGATATATGATTCATCTAGGTAAACTAAACTACAGGTGGACATTTGTAAGTTTTCCCCAGCTTTATATGCACTCTTGTGGAGGTATTTGGGACTAATATCCTTGGAATCAAGTTATCAGTGTAGAAACACTTTGGCTTTTAAGTTTCAGAACTGCGATTTGCTGCTGTCTAATGGAAATAGGAAGACAGAAATTTTTAGTTTTAACTCTGTAGGGTTTTTATCCTCTCAAGATATCATAGTGAAAACCAGGAGTAACTTAACTGAACTTCTTTCAGTGGCATTTTGCCAAGGTAAAATTGTCATAAGCGAGAGAATGAAATCAAGCCGACAAAGATTAAGCAACCACATATTTTATATATTTCTACTTTGCATAACTGGTACAGCTTTAAAGTTGTTGTCATCTAACCTGAGGCAAAGAAAAATATCTACTTGTCTATAGGTATGGTGCATACAGGAGACTCTGGATTAAGAGCAACAACATATACAAGTTTATTCTACTCTGTTTTCTTAGGTTGGGTAGGTCATGCCTTTGCCTCACTGTTGGTCTGGGTTAGGCTGTTAACCCAACCTCTGTTAACACTCTCTCTAAAACCACATTCCGTAAACATGCAGCCATTTGGCCAGAAGAAGGAGGATAGCCAAAAATGCTGGCTCCCCCAGCCAAGGAAAACCTGTGGTCTAGAGTTCTCTCTGCTGTACCACACAGTGACGATGACATGCCAAATGGCAACAGCATCTGCAGCAGAGCTTGTTAAAAACTTTTTGGAATAGGCAAGTGTTTTTTCAGTGCAAGTGTAGCTGAGCCAAGCTAAATACTCCTTGGCTGAATAAATCCAAAACTGGCATCTGTTTTGGGGACTAAAGGTTCTGTAGTTTACTCTCTCCCCACACCCCCTGCCTCTTTTTTACTGGTAGTGTGAGGCTACTTAATAACAAGATTAAATTATTAGTGCATATGGTGAGAATTCTGTGCTTTAATAACTGAAACTGTACATTAATACAAATTGCCTTTTAATCTGGGTAAGCAGGTTTTGTCCCTAAATCTAATGTATGAAGGCATTTTAATGCATGAAGAAATTGCTATCAGTTCTAAAATGTGGTGTAGTGAACAAGCAGAGCCTTTACTTCTCAGGGCCTTTCTGCCACTCTTCCAAGGGTAGAAAAAAATCTGCACACATTAACTCTTAAGAGGTATACTTCAGAGTTCCAGGACTTTTCCTCTTCTCAAATGCAGGTTTGAGGTTTTAAGAATATTTTATATTTCTATATTCTAATTTTGTACTTTGTTTCTGTATGAGCACACATGCAATGTAAAAAGCCTCTTCATTTAGCCACTACTTTGAGGAATATGAATCTATTGACAATACACTGCATGAATACAAACTAAAAAAAATCCAGGAAATATTCAGAGCAAAATTATTTCATACATGTATTCTTCATGTATTTTAAATCAGAATCATCTGTGTTACAGGGGTGTTTGTTCTTATTGTTAACTATTTCACTTTTCCTCATGCTTAAAGCATGATACTTCACATACTCTGGTGACTTAGTTAAAAGTTAAAAGTGAGAGTGCTTAGTACCTTATCAGACTGTGTCCTGCATTAGGAAAGATTTTCAGATTTCCCTGGGTTCTGCTAATGCTATTACTGCTGGTGCATTCAGCATTGCTTTTGTTCTCTTTGGCTGGCCCCACCCCGAGAAGAATGTATGTGTCGAACATCAGACAGAGTCATCTAAGATGCTGGTAGCTAATGACTGGAGATATTAAAAGGGGACTTTGTACCTGATGCATCAGGTGCCCAAATCCATGGGAGTATCAGCACTTTGAGGAGGTCTGCATGAGAGAATGTGGGACAGGCTCCTCTAAATGTGAGACCCAGATGTGAGACCAGATCCTCCTGGCCTCGTGGCAGTATGTACCTGAGCAGTGCAAGCAGATTTGACACGCAGCAGGAACACTGTTTGGTGACACATGTGACTTATTTTGCCTCTGTAAAATGCATGTGAATAAATAATATCAGTAGGGATGCTGTGGGAAGCCAGATTTTTACAAGAAAGTTGAAAGATGGCAAAAGGTTCACACCCTTGATTGGTTCATAATTTGTTTATAAAGGGAAATGGAAGCCAGTCTGATAAATATATACATTGTGTGATATACATGTACATCTATACACAAATATGGAATATTTGTGGCATTAATGTAACGTTTCTATAATAAGCAATATGTGTTTTAATCACCTTGTTTCACCTGGAATTTATGGAAAGCCACACTCTGCCACCCAAGATGCTTGTTTCCTGGTTTAATTTTTTTCAGGAGAATATTCCATCAGGTGTTAAGGTATTGTAGATGACATCCCAGAACTGATTTAATTTATCACAGCAATCTCAGTTTCCCTCACAGTATGCCTCTCAATTAGGTTATCACCTAATGCTTTAAAACTGTCCTAGTAAATGAATGAGTGAAGATCTAAATCAATACTGCTTTCTTCTTAGATTCACAGCTGAGTGGATAAAACTCTTATGCTGCCCACCAAAAACATACATTGATTTTATATTAAAATATATTGCACTGGAAAGAGGAGGAAACATATAGCTTTTAAGTGTACACAGTAAAAAATATGCAGAGTCGCACGTGTAGCATATTAACATGTGGTTCAGTAGGCTGAAAGCATTATGAAGTTGGATCTGTTGGCGGTGCCTTTGCCTTAATATACTGCCTACACATAGCTTGGTTTTGCAGTTTCAGAGGACTGGAGGTTTTAGAACTCGGAAATGCAATACTGCATGGATTACTGGAGTGAAAGATAAATAGTGTGTGCACTGAACCTCTGGAAGCCTATGTAAAAGCAGATCTCTTCGATGGAGCTGATGCCTTTCTGTCTGAATTTTGCAAGGCATTGATCTTTACCTGCAGAAATTTATGGCCTCTGAAAGGAGGTGTAAAAAGCAGGCTGGCAATGAAAGAATTGAACTTAAAATACAGTTCTCAATTTAATCTATTAATTTTTTCTTTTACAATTTCTGTCTGCCACTTGCTGGATATGTAGTTTTATAAAATTTAAATTAAATGTTATATGTGTTGCTTGGCTGTGCCTGTAACCCTGACAGAATGTGTACGGTTCTTTAGAAAAGTAAAGCAGAGACATTATTTCTCTATCAGAAGTGCATAGGACTGTGGGCTGTTGTTTTTGCCTTGTAAGCATTACTATGTTGAACAGCAAGAAAAAAAAAAAAAGGGTTTGTCAGATGAAAGAGTGAAAACGTAACCAGAAAAGAAAAGTAAAATGTTAGAGTGCATGTTCCTAATTATAATAGTAAAATAACCGAACCTCCTAATCTACCTAAGAATGCCGGACAGCTTTGGCAGAGGAGTAGAGAAGTGAAAGAACTTACAGCGAGCCAGTTGTCATCAGCACTAATTTTTATTCAACTTAATTAGAGGTAAGGGTCCAGATCCTACTGGTGGCTGTGTAAATCCCAGTGCAAGCATCACTCAGCTCTCCATCCCAGAGGAAAGGCCAGGCTGTCTGCAGAGACCTGGCTGCATTTTGTGTGGCTCTAAGACAAGCACGTCTCACTTATCTGCAGGAGCACAGCATGCCAGCCAAACGGGAAAGACTCGGCCACAAAGGTCAAGGGCTTCCATCAGACGCAGATTATGGTCTGAGTTTGGATGGAGTCTTCTGCTGCTCCTTGTTTTACAAATAGAATGCACTTCTGTGCCCGTGAGCTGGGATCGTGCAGCCCCTGCAAAGCGAGGAGCAGCTGGAGGAAGCTCCCAGCCCTGCTTTGGTACCTGCTCTGCCATTGCAGCAGCCCTTGGATGTGGCAGCAAAGAGTGCTGCCCAAACAGCAGTGGCAGCCTTGGGAAGAACATCCCTCTGGATTCCTGCTCTGGGCCCAGGTTTCCAAGCCTTCCATGCTGATTTCAGGCAAGGGGCTGACACAGGCAGTTCAGGCAGGATCAGAGCCACTGAAACTCTAGGTTTAAATACTTCACACTTTGTGACTGAAGATACTTTGTTGAAGTCTGTGTTTTGCTATCAAGCTGGCTAGGAATGGAATCAGTTTAGTAGAACAGCACATACTGCTTCAGGGCCAGAAGGTTTTTCTTTGCATGGATTCTGGACTGCTGAGCAGAAAGAAAAAATGTTGCATCTCTGCAGAGCTTTCAACAGCAATTGCTCATCTTGTACTTCACAATAAAGCAATGAAAGCAGCATAAGAGAAAAAAAAAGAAGTGCAAAGCAATGTCTTCCAAGTAAAAAATAAGAGTTGTGACGAAACTTCCTGTATCAGTAACTCAGAAGTGTTTTCACAGAAGGGACTGCTGTA